AAATATTAATTAAAATTTCAGACTAAAATGAAATTTTCAAAGTATTCAATACAAAGATATGCCCAATGTTGTTCCAAGAACTCACGTTATACCCTCACAAATGTGGCAGTAGGTGTGTGTAATATTCATCTTGCTAACTCGGGCTCCACTACGTCAGACCCCTGACTCCCAACTCAATCGTTTAGCTTTGTCTTTTGCCTGAAGTTGTATCCATCTGAAACCCAGTGAAATGGTTACCATTGACAAGGTGCAAATCTGCAAACACACACTCACAATTACAACAGTCTCAATGACACAGAGACTGTCTTATTTGGTCATTTTAAGTGGTCTAGTGGGCTCTTGTACTACTCCAACAGTAGCAATTGATCTTGTCCAACACATGATTCCTTGCCCTTCCTGCCTTCAATGCTTTGTCCTTTCTAACCACATAACCTATACAGGAACAGTCTGTATACCCTTTTGTTTAGGCTTTGTTCCTTAGTCGTTCTTCCGCATTACAAACTCAGATCACATGGACATTTCTTGAAACCTAATTAAGTCATAATTGTATGAATTATAGAAAACCAGTTTGCATGTTCAGCAGGGAATAAAGAAGCCAAATGAAATTTTGTCATTTATTGCCAAAGGAAGAGAGTATAAAAATAGGGACGTATTGCTGCAACCATATAAGGTATTAGTGAGACTGCACCTGGAGTATTGCATAAAATTTCGGTCTCCTTACTAGTGGAGGGAGGCAGTTCATAGAAGGTTCTCAGATTGATTCCAGAGATGAAGGGTTCATCCTGTGAAGCAAGATTGAACTGTTTAAACTTTTCCTCTCTGGTGTTAAAAAGAATGAGATGAGATCTAATTGATGTAAAGAAAATGCCAAAGGAAATTGACAGTGTAGATGCTTCCTCATGTGGGGCAACCTAGAACAAAAGGTCATGTTTAAGATTCTTGCGAAGATTTGTAGCTCGGGTTGTGGGTGAGGTTGTTGATTTGCTCGCCAAGCTGGCTGGTTATAGTTCAGACGTTTCATCACCATGCTAGGTAACATCATCAGTGCTGCCTCCAATAAAGCGATATTGTTCTACTCTGCTTAGTATTTATATGATTCGATCTGTTGGTGTTTTGTGTCATTTTCAGTTCTTTTTTGCAAGGGTTTATATATGGGGTCTAATTCCACATGTTTATTGATTGCATTATGGGTAGAGAACCAGGCCTCTAGGAATTCCCACGTGTGTCTATGGTTGGTTTGGGCTAGGATGGTCACACCATCTGAGTAAAATTGATGACCTTCGTTGTCCGAGTGTACTGAAATGAGGGAAAGTTTGTTGTGTCCTTTTGCTGCGAGCTGGTGTTCGTGTATCCTTATGGCTAGTTTCCTTCCTGCTTGGTCAATGTAATGTTCTTGGCAGTCCTTGCAGAGTATTTTGTACACTAAGTTAGTCCTGCATGTCGTGGGTATGGAGTCTTTAGACCTTGCAATTGTTTGTCATAGTGTGGCTGTGGGTTTGTGTGATTCCTAGTGGTTGTAGGAGTCTCGTTGGCAGTTACAATATGTTCTTGACATACGGTAGTGTGGCCAGTGTATTAGGTCATATTGTGTCCTCTTAGTGTTGTCTATCTAGTAGGCATCTGAAGTTGGTGACGTATCTATTGATAGCGAAGACCTTGTATGGGGGCTATTCCTCCTTCTTGCAAAGTTCTGATGTGTTGCAGTGGGTTGGGGCTCATTTAAATAGTGCCCTAACACAGCTTTGTTTGTGGACATTATGGTGATTGTTGTGGAAATTCCTGTATACCGTGGTTTGGAATTCCGCACTTGTCATTCGTTCTACCCTGATGTCTAGGAACGGAAGTTGATTGTTGTTTTCCTCTTTTCTTGTGAATTTGATCCTGGTGAATACATTGTTGATGGGGTGGTGGATCTCTTCTAACTTAGTGCGTTTAATGATGACAAATGTGTCATCCACATATCATATCCACAGTTTTGGCTGTATGCAGGCGAGGGTCATGTATTCCAATCTTTGCATGGCTGCCTCTGTTCATAGTTTTAGGATAAGTGGTAGCAGATTTAAAACAGAGATGAGGAGAACCATTACCCCAGAGTGTGGTGGATGCCAGAATATTTAGAAAATTAAAGAGGAGAGAGACAGCTTTTAAATTAGCAATGAGTTGAAGGGTTATGGAGAGTGGGCAAGAAATTAGAGTTGTAGCTGTGATCATCCTCAATGGATGGCTTGAGGGGCTAAGTTGTCTACTCCTGCTCCTAGTTCTTATAAGCAGAAATTCAATTAACCTGCTTTCAGAATATTCCCTAGTTTCTCTTGGTCTTAAAGGGATACTTGCACGAGGAGGAAAATACAGGTTTTACCCAAACTACACAAGTGATCTTAAGTGTATGAATCTCCTATTTCACAATACCGTTCCAAACAGACAAGACACAATTTGCATTTTTGAAATGGTTTAGAATTGCTTTTTTGTGTGGAAAGATTAATTGTATCTCTAATGATTATATATATTGAATTTTGTGCAAATTTGTATTATAAAAGAGATAATAGATTCTCTATGTGTCATGCACAGATATTTGCATGACAGGAAACAATGGTTGCAAAGTCCTTTAATTTCTGTTATTTTCCCTACTTTACATCTCATTCTTATACTTTTTCAACAAACATAACATTTTCTCTCTCCTCCTCTTGAACTGCTCCAGATCGTTAAGAAATATTATGTTACTAATTTACCATGACAAAATATGAAAGCTTTACATAATCTTCCATAAAACGTGGTCAATATTTCCCAGCTCTTCATTCAGGACTTTTAGGAATAAACTTGATATTTAATATTGCTTGAAGGCATTGAATTTTGAAAGATTGTGGGAAAACATAATTTATTTCATTTTTAGAACAAAAAACATCTGTGGATTAACCTGGAGTCGTTTCCTTGGAAAGGTCACTGAAGGTTCACGTTTGAAACTGGAGTCTTTTTAAACAAGACTTTCTAGAAATTACATGACTAGTGGTAATTCCTTGCTATACTGTAGATACTGGTAGAATTGTTTTGAACAGTTACGAGCTTGTAAAAGGTTTTTCTTTTTAACTTGGTTCAGTTGGAGGCAAGGTCTCTCCCTATTTATTTCAGAATCCCCTTCCCCTCCCCCATTTCTGAAGAAGGGTCTAGACCCAAAACGTCAGCTTTCCTGCTCCTCTGATGCTGCTTGGCCTGCTGTGTTCATCCAGCTCTACACCTTGTTATATGAGTTGGAGGAAAGCCTGTTATGAAGAAGCTGCTCAGCTGATTTCTCCTATTTCTGAAAACCCTTTGCATCAATTCAGGGTGATAGCTCTTTGTGCTTTTGAAAAGAAAACTAAAAGACCATATTTTCTGAGAAAATTGTGTATGCAAGACTTCAAAAGGAACAAATGCACAATGAATGACTTTATCTTTTTGCCTTCAAGAATAATCCATTGGCCAAAGTGGTATTTTTCCAGAAATTAAATCTTTGCAGAGAAATCTGTTTTTATTTCCACCTTCCTGAAGAGTGAGATTTGGGATATTTAGAGGGATAAATATTTGAACATTCAGTGAATTTTTAAGGATTACGTACTAGTATAACATTATTGAATACATTTTGTTTGATTAAATCCACAATTATGTTTATTAAAACATACAGATGATAGATGGTTTTCAAAAAAATACTGAAAGAACTGCAGATGCTGGAAATCAGAAACAAAAATAGAAATTGCTGGAAAAGCTCCTCAGTTCTGAGGACGGGTCACTCAACCTGAAATGTTAACTCTGATTTCTCTCCACAGATGCTGCCAGGCTTGCCGAGTTTTTCTAGCAAAAACTTTGATAATTTTTTATTCCTTTTAATCTGATATAGATAAGGTATTTAATTTGTCACCTTTAACAGGGAAAGTATCTTTACATTGTGATGTGGAGTAGTGAAACTGGAATGATGGTGTATTCTTCCAGTCGCAGTCATAACCATTTTCTCTATAATCCTATTTCCTACCAGTTTCATCACTGGTCAAAGTTTTACAGTTACGCCAGTTGAAGGGCACTATGCTGAATGATGGTGCAATCAAATCTTTTGGGACTTCCAGCCAATTATCTCACTTAGGGAAGCTGCTTCATCAGCAAGTGAAAATCCCAGCAATGCTACATTGTCAGTTTATGCCCAGATGTGTGTCTTTGCTGTGTAACATTATCTGAGGAATGTTGGATAGGTCAGATATAAAAATGGTCAGGTGCTGAGCTAAGCTCCTTCAGTAACATACCTTAACCCAAATCACAAGGGCATTCCATTACTGCTCCAGTGAGAGGTTTTCTATCTTCTATGCGAGGATTGTTGTAGACTGAATCAGGTTTAATTTGGAGAGAGGTTTAAATTTGCTTTTAGTACACAGTAAATGCATTAACGAAAATAATTTTTTCTTTCTTGTTCACAAAACTTTAGGGATTGCAGAGATTTATTCAGGCCCGATTATTACAGCTCTATGGAACTTCAACTAAAATGCAACAAAACTATCACAAAAGGCTGTTGAATCATCTAGTGTCCCTTAATAGGCACACAATGGCAATAAAAATGTTATGCAGTTACAGAGTACACATATCTGAGCTCATGGAGGAATTAACAGTAACAGGTTTGACATATAGGATCATGCAAATTACTATGGATTCATAATTATTGGGATCAAGTAGGTGTGGAATATGATCTCAACATACTGATGGATATATAGACAAGACTGTTGCATTTGAAGAAAAGTAATAATGTAATGATAAGGATAACAATCCATTATATTTCCCTGCTATTTCACTGCTGGATATCCCTGACCATTCCTCTCTATTGCTATGTCCTGCAAGATGGCAGCAGGGTAAGTCGCTCCATTTGGAGCTCTACTCTGCCTGCCAGTTGTCTTTCTCTTTCTTTGTCCTTTTTATGCCCTCCCTCCTCCTCCCTCCCTCTGTAGAAATTCTATCCCCCACCCCCATCCCTTTTAATTACCTACCCAAGGAGTTGAGAAGGCGCTGGGTCGCAACTGGCAACCATGTGGCGGGAGCTGAACGCATAGATTGTGTTCTGCAGTGATGGCGGATCGAGTGTGAGCCAGAACGATGGGGCAGATCAAGAGCGGGACTCTGGCGGAGGCATGGCGAGGGCGAAAGCTCGGAACGGGACTCTGGAGGAGGCATGGCGAGGGCTGGAAAGCTCGGAGCAGGACTCTGGCGGAGGCATGGTGAGGGCGAAAGCTCGGAACGGGACTCTGGAGGAGGCATGGCGAGGGCTGGAAAGCTCAGAGTGGGAATTCAGCAGTGGAAAGGCAAGTTGAACTCTCAAGTTATTTTTTTTTCTTAGCTTATTTCAAGTTAACGTGAATGGTGCCATGTATGTACGAAGGTTCACACTTTTCACTGTATTTTTACATTGAATACACATGGCAATAAATGATTCAATAAATGTACCGATTGTGAGATCTATGTAAAGCTTGTGGGAAAAGGAATTTGTTTCATTTTTAGAACAAAAAAAAAATTTTGTATTAACCTGGAGTGTTTTCCTTAAAAAGGTTACTGAAAGGTTCAATTTTGAAATTGGAGTCTTTTTAAACGAGACTCTATTGCTATGCACAGAATTGCAAGCCAATTATCTTGCACAGGTAAAAATGCGTAGAGCAAGAAGTATTCAAATTCAAGTACTTTCTCTTCGAAAAGATTCACTGAAGAATTTTGTTAAGTCAAACGTTGTCACTGTCCTGCTGTTCATGGAGAACAAAGGAGAGATAACAAGGATATTTCAGAAATATTATCACCAACTGCCATTCTGCAAGGATTCTCTGCTCTTGCATTCATGTGTTCCTGCTTGATGGGAGTATCTCACTGTATATACAAGGAAAGTGAGAGATGTATGGTGGGAGATGGGCGAGGAAATAGGGCGGTAGGTGAATGAAGAGTCAAGGTGGCAGTTAGATGAGGGTGGTGATGTGGGAAGGATGCCAGGTAAGTTGGTGAATGCTTAGCGTAGGTGTGGGGTCAGGTCAGTGAGTAGGCTATCAAGAGAGTTTGGAAGCAGTGAGAAGTGGAGGGGAAGGGTGAGTGGTTGTGGGAGCTAAGTGAGGCAAGTATTGGGTCCAGTAGTTCCACTTGGATTAAATGTGTGGGGAACACCAGTGATAGTCACACATCGCAGTGAGTGTCAGGTCCGTGCAGTTCTCAAGGGTTGGGCAGGTGTGTAGTGAGACAAGGTTCATTGTGAGTTAAAGGTTCACCTCAACAGTTATCCAGAAGTTACATTAGGTTTTCAATCCTCTAACTTTTCATGGGTGACTATTCAGCTGAAGTAAATCAAGACCCTCCAAAATCTATGGCTTTAAGGGGCTTTTTTGGAGGGTTCTAGACACAGGATAATTGCTCATCAGAATTTTCCATTTCCCTAACAGTTCCCCCAGCATCAGCCGAGTCTGGATTTTTGATTGTTCATAATGGTAATTCCAGTCTGCACTGTTGCAAGAACTACCTGACCATGACAATGCAAAATAAATAAATGCTGCCTCAACATTATGATTATTATTGACTCATTTGCCCTTTCAGGTTCCAGCCTCCCATCATCCTCTGGGTGAGAAAACATTCTCAAATCTATTAGCCTTCTACCTCTTACTTAAATCAATGCCTCTTGTTTAATGACACCTGTAATAATGGAAAAATGTCTTCCTATCCACTATATCTATGTCCCTCACAAGCATATGCACCTAACAGGTCCCTTTTCAACATTTGTTGCTACAAGGAACACAACTCCAGTATATCCAATCTTTCCTCATAGCACAGACTTTCCAATCCAGGCAGCATTCTGGTGAATCTCTTCTGCACCCTCTCCCGTGTAATCACATCCTTACTGAAGTGTTGTGACCAGAACTGTGCATAACACTCCAGTTGTGGCCAAACCAAAGTCCTGTACAGTGCCAACATAACCTCCCTGCTTTTATAATCCATGACATGACTGATAAAAGCAACTGTTCCATAATCCTACTTAACTACCCTATTAAACTGTACTGCCATCTTCAAGGATTTGTGGAAAAGAACCCCAAGACCTGTCTATTTCTCTGAGCTTCCTAATGCCCTGCTGGTCATTGAGTACTGCCATATCTTATTATTTCATCCAAGGTGCATTACCTCACACTTTCAAGGGAGAACTTCCATCTGCCACTCAGCTGCTCATTTGACCAACCTGTCTAGTTCTTCCTGTCACTTAAGATCATCTTCTTCACTATTAACTATTTAAGTCATCCACAAACTTACTTTTAAAAGTCTTTGGAATTAGACAGAGCAACCAGAAGACTGAAAAGAAAATCCCTCCCTCTTTGTTGCTGCCAACCCTTCCACTATAATTTATTTACATGCAGTACATTAATCTCTATGATCGGCAAAGTAAAGAATCTAAAGCTTTTACCCAAATCCATTAATTTGTAATTAAAGCTTTTATCAGCCTCAAATTCAAAAGTTCCTCACTTTTATCAGTCTAAATTGTTACTAGCAACAGGAATGCATTACTCATCAAACTGTAAATTTCCCGAGTTCACTGGGAGCATAACTTCTCGGATTTTGTGTTGTAATATCATTTTCCCATGGTGTCACTATAATACTGGTCATACCAACAACCATTTAAGTTAGTCTGGTTTTACAGCTGAATGCTCCATTGTTCCTCATTTAGATGTGTGTTAATGAGCTTAATGGAGAATGTACTGACAGATATTTTATGGGGAGATATAAATAACCGTCAGAAACTGAACTGTAGTGGAATCCCAGAAAAAAAGAAACTCTAATTTGCAGACCTGAAGCTTGTGCTGTGCTATTCCATTGCAAGTACAGGAGAGTAGATTCAGGGTCATGTAGTCCAGGCTCACTGGATTATTGTAGAAACGAAAAAAAAAAATTTTGAACCAATGGAAGCCTGATATATTGATTGTTTGATTGGCCAATTATTAATACTCTCAACCAAGATGGAGGACTCTGTAGGAATCTGTCACTGTGGTACAAACTAGAAATAAAAGTCTCCAATGAGTGTACAAGGTGTAGACCTGGATGAACACAGCAGGCCAAGCAGCATCAGAGGAGCAGGAAGGCTGACATTTCGGGCCTAGACCCTTCCAATGAGTATGAAGTTCTCATAACCGAATGAATGGAAGTTAAATCCTCCATTTAACCAGGAAATTCCAATGTATAGCCAGCTGTAAAAATGATACAAAGGTTCATCTACAAACAAGTAGTAATTTGGGTCTAGTCACTGTCCTGTTAATATGCTTAAAAATACAGTTCTTCAGCAAAATTCTTAACTGCCACACAGATTATAAATTTTGTCATTTTTGTCTTCCAAGTAACATACATAAGAAAAACTTCTAACAAGAAGTAGTTGCCCAATAAAGGCTCTAAAAGGCAAGGAAGCAATATTTCTGTCAGTTTTAAAAGGTCACAATTCCTGTTACCTTCCATTACAGATCACTACAAAGGTATCTAATTTGCTCAATTCTGGCAGCTGCCATTCTGGTTTATTACATGTTCACTCTCTTTCAGCTGTCTCCTGCTAGCAACCAGAAACACTACTGCCTACATCCTAATTGGTGGTCAGTTGTCAAGTTCCTTTCAAAAAAATGTATTTGCATTCATTATGTGTTTTCCAAGTCAGATAACTCTATTCTTTCAATGAGAACAAAAAGTTGTTTGGGATCTCAGCCACTACCCTTCACTGGATGTGGTCAAATAACAGAAAAGAATAAATTTTCTTCAGAAGTGCAGTTGAGCTACAGACAATAAATATTACCATTACTCAATTTGTGGATTTGTCAAGCAAGTTATTATTCCACCTCAAAAGCATGAGTAAGGCAGCAGTACTGGAGAGGAAGACAACCTTGTGAAGATGGAAGTGCATGGTTTTGATGAAGTCTAGAATGTGAGGTGCAAATCTCTCAAATCTGTCAAAAATTATTCAAAAAGCTTACGCAGGCAAGTTTACCCTGATAAACTGACAGGAGAAACTGGATCAGAGATAGTAGGAACTGCAGATGCTGGAGAATCTGAGATAACAAGGTGTAGAGCTGGATGAACACAGCAGCCAAGCAGCATCAGAGGAGCAGGAAAGCTGACGTTTCAGATCTGAACCCTTCTTGTGTAGAGCAGGATGAACGCAGCAGGCTAAGCAGCATCACAGGAGCAGGAAAGCTGACATTTCAGGTCCGGACCCTTCAGACCTGAAACATCAGTTTTCCTGCTCCTCTGATACTGCCTGACCTGCTGTGTTCATCCAGCTGTACACCTTGTTATCTCAGGAGAAACTGGAGTCGGTTTTACACAAATAGTGCTGGCAATGGAAGTCAAAACAACCACCTTCCCAAAATTGACACTTACTGATTTTTGATAAAATTTGATGCAATTATTCCTAATTTGACATTTTTGTTTAGCAGCAAACCAAATACTTTGATTTAAAAACAGAAAATCTGATGATTAGACAGCTTACGTAGAGAGAAATGGAATGTGTGTGTGAATGTTTCAGATCGATGACCCTTCATAAAGTTGAATGAAGGCTTTACAATGAAGGCCAGTTTTCCAGCTGTAGATCAAAGATTGTCTAGCAGAAGAGTCAATGGAATAATTTTCCCAGATTCCTAGCGGGATTCCTCTCCTGGGAAGTCTGCCTCAGGAAAATTAGAAAAAAATTGTTGCTGCAGATTTTAACTGATTCCAATAGTGGGTGCAGTTTTGTTAAACAGGTTCTTTTAAGCCTACCTTGTGCCATAAGCATGAATCTTCAGGCCATCGCTGCCATGGGCTTTTACCCATCCCTCCACCCTGCTGTAGGTAGAGTCACATTTGAGCTCAATAACATTTGTGTGAATGAGGAACAATGGAATCCAATTGTAAAACTACCCACCAAATCTAAACAATAGCAGGTTTTAATAAAGGCAGAGAAAGGTGATCAACCCACATTGTAGCAATCCCAAGTAACGTGGAAAAAGTTGAAATTTGAGATTCCAATTATCAAGCCTCGAAAGCTAAATCTAAAGTGGTCACTCTTTCTTTTATTTAGTTGGTGATGATACTATGGCTTTAAGAGATGTATTTTGTCCTTTTTTCTAAAAGAAAGAAAAAAAGTTTGAGAAATAATAAGAACTGCTGATGCTGGAGTCAGAGATAACACAGTGTGGAGC